CGAAAGGAGTGAGTTTAAGTTTAAAAACTCTAAAAACTCACTTTTTGTGTTTTTTATAATAAATTATATTTTTGAGTTAATCTTGAGTTCAGTTTTTGAAAATAGTCCTACCAAACAAGTTTTTAAGGCCTAAAACTTGAAAATTATTTTTGAGTTTAAAAAGTTGGATTTAAGTAGAGTACCAAACATGCTCTAATTTACCTACTTCTTTTTATGGTATTAGCATACATAATATGTAGAATATATATCTGTATATGTTTGATCTAATTTGATTTTGGATTGGGGGAGTTCACACAAAATTAAAATATATTAAACAAATTAATGTCTAGAAATCGTATAAGAAATTTGGTGGCATGATTTTCTAAATAAACACAAATTCAGTGACATCTTTTATCTAACATGATATCATATTCAAAATTTAGGTTTTAATTAAAGGGTCTTCATCTTGCCTGTCTGGACGGAGATCGACTATATTCTAGAAGAAGAAACCTCATACAAACGGTGTCCCATGAAAAACTTCCTCTCTTTTTTTTTTGTTCCAGGTCTAACCTGGTCTAAGAAATGCTAAAAAGTCAGAACCTTTGGCCATAATCTTCGGAGAGTTCCTGATCTGCTCTTGGTTGTTCTTCCTCCAAGACCATCATCTCTCTCCCCTCTTCCTCCCTCTCTCCCACACTTTCTTATGTAAAACTTCCTCTCTTTTTTTTTTGCTCCGGTCTCATTGTCTAACCTAGTCTAAAAAATGCTAAAAAGGCAGAACCTTTTGCCAGAATCTTCAGAGAGTTCTTGATCTGCTCTTGGTTGTTCTTCCTCCATGACCATCCTCTCTCTCTCCCACACTTTCTTATGTAAAACTTCCTCTTTTTTTTTTTTTTTGGCTCCAGTCTCATTGTCTAACCTAGTATAAGAAATGCTAAAAAGGCAGAACCTTTGACCAGGATCTTTAGAGAGTTCCTAATATGCTCTTGGTTGTTTTTCTTCCAAGACTACAGTCCTCCCTCTCCCTCCCTCTTTCCCTTGCACAAATCATCAGTATGCAGTCAAGACAGATTATCCCAATTTACACTATGCACAGTATGTATTCTCTCTATCTTTCTCTCTCTCTTTTCTTCCCCTTCCCTACATCTCTCTCATTTTTTTCTACTCTTGATCAATATCATTAATGAGTTTATGAAATTATGTCATATTATATTTTGCATGTGGTACGGGATGTACTCACTCCGGCATTGTCATTGCCTATCGGTGGAGCGATTTCACATTTGTCAGGCATGATTTGAGGGTTGTGGATTGGGTAACTGGAGAAGTCGTTCATGACAATTACCCTAACCTCTACAGAGTTGGTGACAACAATATATATATAGTTGCCGTAGGTTCGGCGGACGCATGACATGACTTGCATAACTATTTAAACAAAATGGTAAGCAATTGATATAATAATTTAACATTATGAAATTCAATTTTTTTTTTTAAATTTATGTGTTCTTTTTTTAACAAATCAAAAGAAACCCAACTCTCCTTGTTAGAGGATCGCAGCATTGACTAGGAGTTTTACATCTCGAAGGGACCTAGTAGGACAACCCATCACAATTACTTCTGCTCGGTCCATTCGAGATGTAAAACTCCTAGCCAATGCAGCGATCCTCTGAACAGAGAGAGTTGACGTTCTTTTGGTTTGTTAAAAAAAGAACACATAAATTAAAAAAAAAAATTGAATTTCATAACATTAAATTATTATAAAAAATGCTTACTATTCTGGTTAAATAGTTATGCAAGTCATGTCACATGTCCCCCGAACTTGCGGCAACTATATATATTGTTGTCATCAACTCTGTAGAGGTAAGGGCAATTGTCGTGAACGACTTCTCCAGTTATCCAATTCACAACCTCGAGTCATGCTTGACAAAGATGAAATCGCTCCACCGATAGGCAATGCCAATGCCGGCGTGAGTACATGCCGTACCACCTACAAAATATAATATGATATAATCTCATTAATGATATTGATCAAGAGTAGAAAAAATGAGAGTGATGTAGGGAAGAAAGGAGAGAGAATACATAATGTGCATAGTGTAAATTGGGATAATCTGTCTGAGGAAGTGTGGGAGAGAGGGAGAGGAGAGATGATGGTCTTGGAGGAAGAACAAAGCAGATCAAGAACTCATCCCACACATCAAGAAATTAGTACTTCTTGCTGGTGCTTTACAACCTATTATTGGATTGCTCAGGTGATTCTGAACTTTGTACTTTTTCCTTGAACAATCATGTTGTTGCTGTTTTCAAACAATGACATCTCCCTTGTTCATTTCTTTATTGACAGTTCCGACTGTACGGAGAGCCAAAGAGAAGCTGCTTTATTACTTGGTCAGTTTGCTGCAACTGATACAGATTGCAAGGTAAAATAAACCATTTTGGTTAAACTTGTGTTTTTTACCCTCATACTCTTTTCGTAAGATGATTTTGTTAGATGTTATAACTGTGTGGTCAATGCAGGCACATATTGTTCAGAGGGGTGCTTTAAAACCATTAATTGAGATGCTTAAGTCACCTGATGCACAGGTTAAGGAGATGTCTGCCTTTACGCTTGGGAGGTTGGCACAGGTTAGCTTTACATTTATTCATTGTCGATTCTTTAGTGCATATATGTATAAATATAATAAGGCAGTTGCAAGTATCATACTAGCAATAGCGGCTGGTTGTTAAACAATCCTAGAACTCATTTACACTTTTGTTTTTGTATAATTTATCTTTGATAGGAACCCTAATAAAGTTATGGTACTTTCGGATTGTTTTGTACTTTTAGGAAAGGGAAAGGCTGCAGTATCATAGGCACGTCTACTTGTAATGCAAGGTTTTTTTGTACTAGTGTTAAATCTCTTATTGGCTATATTGTTTCTTCATCATAAATGGCTATATTGTTTCTTCATCATAACACGTTTGCATGCTTTACTTCTACCAGGTGAACGGTTCTATGCCCACAGAATTTGTTTGCTTGCCTCATCTGATGCATTCCGTGCCATGTTTGATGGTGGTTACAGGGTAAGAATTGAGCTATAATCTTATCTTTATGGGCCTTTTCCACTCAATGATTCTCCGAATACATTGCTGAAACGATGTATTGCAGGAGAGAGATGCAAAGGACGTTGTGATCCCAAATATTAGATGGGAAGTTTTTGAATTGATGATGAGGTAGGCGTTCTACTTCTACACCCCTGGTTAAGAACTAAAGAGTGTAATGCACCTTAGTGTCGGCCCTAATAGTTATTGTGATCCTGTTTGTTCCCAGATTCATATACACGGGATCGGTAGATGTCAATATGGATATTGCTCAGGATCTCCTCAGAGCTGCTGATCAGTATCTTTTGGAGGGCCTCAAGCGGCTCTGCGAGCATGCCATTGTTCAGGTGAGCTACCTATTAAAGTTGTTGGTCATTACTGATTACTCTTTTGTTATTCCGGGTTTTGTCTGATTGGCGTCTTATTACGTTTATTAAGGACATCTGCGTGGAAAATCTTTCGCTCATGTTTGAGTTTTCGGAGGCCTTAAATGCCACGTCGTTACAGCAAGCATGCATTCTATTTCTACTGGAGCAATTTGATAAATTGGTTGACAAGCCATGGTAAGCAGTACCTCTGTCTCACTCTTTCTCTCTAAATCTGTGTCCACTGTCCAGCAAGCATTACAGTAACATCAAATCTCGTGATGAAATACTCAGGTATCCCGCATTGGTGGATCATGTGATATCAGACATTCGCGCATTTTTTACTACTGCACTTCAGATGCCGGTTGAGGCAACCTCGCAGCAGCAGGCAATGGCATAGATGCATGGGTCAATCGTTGTGTCATTTTTAGAGTAAGAGCATAAATGTACAGAAAGTAGTAGAGCTCATATTTTCAGGGGCTCGGTCATCTCCCGAACTTTCACAGCGGAGCCTCCGAACCAATTCCACATCAAAAACTGTAGGAACCCCAATTCCACATCCAAAAGTCGGCTATCTCTCCTCTTTCAACCCTCGCAAAAGTTTGTAGAAATAGTATTTGTGTAGGTGTTGATTCATAGGCTACGAATAGTGCAACCAAACAGTGTCGGATAACATTTGCTTTGGCTAATACGTTTACAATTAATTTGGTTAATTAATGTTGTTTCTTTTTTCACTCGTTAAGAAATCGTTGAGATAATATGTATGGCACGAACCTGATCCATTTAATAGGTTTAGATATTAGGCATGACAACTTTTTGCATGGTTTATTAACTTTGACATGACATGAAACAATTATAATATGTTTTGGATTAACTTGGTCAGAGTCAAGTCTTTAGCGGGTCATTTGTGAAAATAACGAATTTGACATACAACAACTTATTAAGATAACAAATTTGACACTAAACAACCAATATGACCTATTTCGTTATGTCTGCTTTGACCCAACAAAGCTTATGGGATTCTATTCTAGAAATGAAACACATGCATGTATATTATTTTGTTTTTATCCACGCGATGGGGTCCTCCAAATCCCAAATCAATACCAAGTACGTTATATAAGAATGGTGATATTAGCTACGGAATAATAGTGCAAGACACATTTTATTATAATGGTGGAGAGATGTTGAGCTTTTGTACGACGGTTTGAGTTCGAATCTTGTTAATGACTAATCTAATATCTAATCTAACAAAATATATCGTTTGTCAAAAAAAACAAAAAACTACGTACCAATGGCAAAAACATCTAGCACACAAGTAGTGATGTTGCGTAACAAAACAAGTTATTTTTCTCTACCTAGGTGTATTATAAATTATAATTAAACTTACATGAGATGGAAAGTATATGAAAAAAATTAGGAAAATTTTATTTGAATCCATGTAATCTCTTTCTATGTCCAGTTTAAATTTAAATTATTAATTATTTATTTTACCCTATTACATAATTACTATTAAATACATTATAAAATTAATAATAAAATTCAAATTTATCAAAAAACTCATTACCCTAGTCCTCTCTCTCCTCTCCCTTCCTCTCTCCCACTTTCTTATGAAATGGTAAAAGCCTGTGCCTTTGCACAGAATCATCACACACCTGCCATGAACACGCCTCTCACTGCCAGCGACAGTATGTCTTCAAGAGAAATCGTACCAATTTACATACCAAACCGTATTCTTTCTCTCTCTCTCTCCCCTTTTCCTTCCCCTGCATCTCTCTCCCTCCCCCTCTCTCATTTTTTTTCTTTAATTTTGCTACAGGTACTCTTGAGATGAACCAAGAGATCTACTCACCACATGGTAAGATTCTAATGCTACTCTCATCCCTTTTTTCAGTGCTGGTGCTACCACAGTAGGCTAGCTTAGCAAGCTTCTGTTTAGTTTCTTAATCTGTAAACATGAAATCTGGTTCTAGATGTAGGATTTAATTTGGATTTTTTTTTAATTTCAACAATAAATTTCAATTTGAATACACCCCTTTACAATGTCCCAACCTCAGAGAGACAGTGCCATGGCGTCGGGGTCAAGGTTAAGGGCAGACGCCAAACCCTGCATCCCTTTTCCGATACCTAAATACCGTTCTCTCTCCCCCTCTCTTTTTCTTTTTGTAATTATTTACTTTGATTATAATGTTAGCTTTGTTTTTCAGAAACTGTCACGACAGAAGGACGGGATCGTATAAGGGACTGCATTGCGCGAGCTTTGTCCCTCTTGTCTGAGGAAGATTATGAAAGATATAAGGTTTCTTTCAAGGCATCTGACCCTTCTAAAGTTGCTGCTCAAGTGGAGGCTGCGCTGTTTCAATTTGAACACTCGCCTCCCGATGATGACAAACCATTGGAAGTAAAGCGTCCAGTTCTGTTAGATACTCTTCGGCGCAACAAAGATTTGCGCAGACAAGTTCTTTTTGGAGAGATCACGCCAAAGATGTTGCTCAACATGCCCATAGCCGAACTGCGGCAGAAGTACCCAGCAAACTCACGGCAAATCTTGCTGCCTCCTTCCCGAGGTGATTGATTCGGCCCCAATCTCTCTTCCTTTTTTTTCTTTTTAATTTTGATTTTTAACGTTGGCTTTTGTTTTCTGAAAACTGTCAAAAAACAGAGCGACGTGTTATAAGGCTTTGTATTGCCGGTGGTTTGTCCAAGGTGTCTGAGGAAGTTGATGAACGATATATGGATTCTGTCAATGCATCTGACCCTTCTAAAGTTGGTGCTCAAGTGGAGGCTGCGCTGTTTAAGCACTGGGGTCCCGATGAAACGATGGAACCAGTGGCTTATAGGTATTCACTTCTAATAACTCTTATTAACAACCCTTGGAACAAAGATTTGCGCAGACAAGTTCTTCTTGGGGAGATCACGCCAGAGATGTTGGCCAACATGTCCCTAGCCGAAATGCAACAGTTGAACACGTGGCCGGAGGACGACCCTGTTATCTTGATATAAAACAACGACTGATCAAGCCCCTGGAATTAAGGCTGTGTGTTCTGGTAGGAAGTCTCTTCTTGGAGCTGCCTCTGTGTGCTTCTTTCGTGGTTGTTTTCCTCGCACTCGGTCAGACAAATGTTTCGTCTTCTGAGTATTTTGTCGTCCCTAGTATAGTATATATTTCGCTATTATGCTTTATCAAGTGTTCTACTTTGCGTGTAAGGACATTATATATGCGTGTGTGTGTTGTGAAATTTGGCAAATGGAACCTGTTTTAGTGGAAATTGAGATTCGGGGGTTTTGCTTGTGTTTTTCTCTTGAACTATTTTTGTGGCACAATGTTGTTTCGTTAAAGATATGAGTCAGTTTCCTTAACGTTTTCGACAATCATTTAGTTAGTACTCACGTCCATAAATTTTACTTAACCTCTTTGTAAAGAGGAACATATTAATTTGTGATACATCGTCCGTGTATTTCTGTTTCATGCCCACTGGTTCTTCATACTTGTTATGAAACCAAGAGCATTCTTGTATATACAACAAGAAAAGACCCCCAAATCCGTTTTTGTTTACAATCAACATATAATGTTACCCTTTCCTGACCATAAGGATGTCCGTTGAAAATATATAGCTCTTTCATGTTTCTGAATGGTAACAAACCTTCATTGCGTTTGTGATATTAATTATGGATAATGATAGGGAGATTAAATTTGTAAACAAAATTTTTGAGATTAAAGGACATGGAAGTTGATTATTGGTTTGTTAAGCGTTAATAAATATGCTCATTTTGGTGACACACAAAAATAATCTCCCTAGCATTACTGATAAATTATAATACATGTGATTGTGTTGTATTACTTGCAGGGCAAGTATGCCTGCTTGGAGATCAAATGAATAGACTAACTATTGTTTAACAGTTACTTTAGACTAAATTTTTATTTCTTTTTCTAACACGATTGTGTATATTTTAAATTGCTTTACTCGAATAATGGTGCACCAAAACATATAAAGCGACTTCATTAAAAATAGGAAACTGATAGATTACAAACTGTAGCTGATCAAATCTTACAGAATACAAGACACATGAAACACTACATAAGTACTTCAAGGAGGAAAAAACAAGAGCACTGCTTAGACTTTTGGAATACAAAGCTCAATACAGTACTAATTTGAGCCATTTTATTTTTATCAGGATATTTGAGTAGTTAAGACAAACTCTCTGTGGTGGAACATTGTAATTGTTAATTGGACCTTTCTTGGCCATTACACGGAGATTAATACAAACTCTCTCTCTCTCTCTCTCTCTCTTGTTGTTGATCATTAGTCACGTTCTTTAGTTTGTCAAAGGGACTTTGATAAAGTTGACCAAAAATCCATACGCACGAGAAGATAGTATTTGCATATAAAAACAAGGAAATGATGAATCGAATGGCACGGATAAACTTTGTATGTAAAATTAGCATGTTTTGTTGAGAGTGTATTCCATGGAGGGACTTCACATGTGCTTATAAGTAGTTGAATTACTTCTCATATTGCCATCGAGAGTAGGTTGGCCATGTGTGTGAAGTCCACCATCCACACGTGCACGACGTCACTTGATTTGTGTTGTTCGATGTTAGGCTTGAAAATTCGCTACACGTAAGGGGACTTGTTGACTGTAAATCCTACACTAGGAAAATGACAGACCTCACATATGCTTATAAGTAGTTAGACTACGTTTCATATTCCAATTAATTTTATGATAAAACCTCAACTTATTCATGTTTATTATGTGAACGTCTTGTGTATGCATTGAATTAGACAAAATACGAGGCACAAAAAAGCTTCTAATTAAGATTTTTCTTTTAAATTCTTCAAACGGATTCTAATCTTTTGTTTATATTTTTGTGTTGTTGTGAAAAAGCACTAAAAAAATGCATGATGAATCCGATTTGATTTGCAAACGTGGAAACGAAAACCTTCAATGTCACCATCTAAGAAAGATTAGAGCTCGATTAGGGATCACTATGCATATGTGTAAGATCTTCTTCTGAAATCAATGAGATCATCCTAAGCATGGCTTCGTAACGCTTGCATACACCACGGTACACTAAGTACGCGTTTGTGAAGAGGTCGGCTAGGTTCTCGAAGCAGTCGATGGACCTAGCTGGTAACTATGAAAATCATCTCATCAGTGGCGAAGCCATGAATTGTTAGGGAAAGGGGCGGACTTTTTTTCTTTCTTTCGAACAAACGATATTATCTACACTATGGGGGGGGGGGGGGGGGGGTAGGGGAATGAGCTAAGCCTGACAATGAGCTAGCAATAATGTGATTCAAATTTGTCTTTGACAAGAATCGAACCTAAGTCTTCTCACTTACAAGTGAAGAGAAATATCACTAGACCGTAGTACTAAGTGGTGGGTTGGGACGAACTTAAAAATGCAAGGTTAAAAAAGATTAGCCAATATTTCATCCAAATCAGTGTCCTTACTTTGTTGGGAACAACCTAGAATAGTCGAAGAGGATTACCCGGAATATTTGAAGGATGACTACTTGGAATATTTGGAGAAGGATTTAAGCATTGTTTCTTATAGTATCATTCTATTACGTAACTATATACTATAGCAAAAAAAAAAGTCTTAGATTCTTAATCAATACCAATAATCATATAAATTATTCATTAAACAAAATTCAATTCATTTAATCAATATCAATGATCAATTAATCAAGAATCAAGAATTCAACTTTTAATTTAAATAACAATTATAATCATCAATAATGATAAGATTTCATATTGATAATCAATAATTAATAACCATATTGATTAATTACTCTATGATTCTGTATCAATTAAACAAAATTTCAAATTAAATAAGCAATTAGGGTTAAGGCTAATATAAATTTGGAAATTAAAAACTTCATCTAATGATTAAGAGAAAGGGGGCCAAGAATGGCGGCTGGAGGCTGGCTGCTTGCGGCTTGGATGGCTTGAAAGCTTGAAGTTGAAGCCTTAAAGTCTGGAAGCAAGGGAATGATATCTGGCTAGTTAGGGAATAAGCTGCACTTCACTCCAAACCCTCACACCACTCACACAGCTTTGTTATGATATTGTCACGGTTCCCACGGTTCTTCATATGGGTTCAGCTGAGAACCTTGTGATTGTGGATTATAGCTTGAGAAAGCCATGAGAGAGAAGATCAGAGAACTCAGAGAAGAGTTTTGTTTGTAAAGTTGATTTTGGATTTTTCTTTTAGAATCATAAAGATGTGTAAGTGGTGGGAGAGTTTGGAGTGATGAGGTTGTTTTTAGGGCTGGTTTGGTATTGCTGTGCTTTGAAAAAAAGCTGCTGTGAGAATAAGCGGCTGTGCTGTGAGAATAAGCGGCTGTGAAATAAAGCCAGTAGAGTGTTTGGTAAACTTTTTTGTGAAAGTGCTTTTGGAAAAAAAAAAGTAGGATGATAGTGTGTCTTTTCATTAAAGGAGCACTGTAGCTCCGTGTGCTTTGAAAAAACTGGCTTTTTTTCAAAGCAACAAATAGCAGCTTCAGCTTTTCCTTTGATTTTCAGCTTATTCTCACAGCAGCTTCCAAAATAAGCCCTTTTTTTTTCAGTTTACCAAACACAAAAATGACCCTCAGCTTTTTTTCACAGTGACTTTTTTTAAAATCACCTCAATCCCAAACGGGGCCTTAAGCATATCAGGGTGTATGGATGGACTGTCTGGATGTAATATGTGGTGAACCAAATATGGGGGTTTGCAACAACTATAAGATTTCTAAAAGTAATATTGTAACTAGTACTTTGAAAGGATATAAGGATCGTCGTGTCGAGTACTCGAGTAATTTTTCGGTGTCAATAAAGACGATGGCCAAAAGCTACTCGGATGTTTTACATGTGAAAGAATAATATAATATTTGAGAATATTTGTAATAACACAATATTATATGGCCAAAATTAAGCTGAAATAATGTACAAGATTAAACGTAGGTTGATTTGGTCATGAAAAATGGTATGCACCAAGATCCTTGACAATGTTATAATTCGCCAACCAACCCCTCAGTGAATGATTAGCCATTCAAACTACAAAGTCGTCAAGGATCTGGTTGAAGACCCATTTTTTCTGCCAAAATCAACCTACAGTTAATCATTTACAGGATATTAGATTAATTTTTGCCATGCAATATAACTTTATCACTAATATTCTTCAATACTTATGCTATTCTTCCACATGTAAGACATCCGAGCAACTTTTTGTCATCACCTTCATCAACACTGAGAGATTACTCAAGTACTTCACATAGCGATCTTTATATCCTTTCAAACTAATAGTTCTAATGCTATTATTAGAAATCTTATAGTTGTTGCGAGCCCTGCAATTGGCTCACCAAAAATTACATCCAGCCGTCAATCCACAGACCATGGTATGCTTAAAAATAACCTCTTCACTGAAAACCCTCCCACCACTCACACAACTTTCTGATTCTAAAAGCAGAAGTCAAATGTAGCTTTACGAAACATAACCCTTCTCTTAGTACTCTGATCTTTTCTCCCATGGCTTCTTCTAGCTATAAACCACAAGCACAAGGTTCCCAGCAGAACCCATATACAGAACCATGGGAACGGTGCCAATATTATTCATAAACATGTGTAAGTGGTGGGAGGGTTTGGAGTGAAGGTGCACCTCCTTCCCCTAAATAGCCGTTCGGGCCTAGGGACTGTCATCTTCTGGTTGTTGACTATTTGGGGACTTTGTGCAAAGTAATGAAATAGTAGGGGGGTAGACCTGGTATTCGTGTCATGTTTTTCGTGTTCATATTGTTTTTGTGTCATACTCGGTATCTTAATGATCCATAATATTGCTCGGAGTTTATAAAGTCTCTAAAAGCTATATAACATTGACTCACATTTCAGTTAATACCATAAATATCAAAATGTTATACTAACGACCTGAATGGTTCATTTTTCTATATCTGCTAAAAGATCATGTTTTAAAATAAATAAAATATGAAAAACGAAATGCAATGAGAAGAATGAAGCGTAAACGAAAATTGATGATAAAATATAAATCTAAGATTTATGGATTATGGTGTCGGATTTCGGAGTTGACTCATTCACGGAAGTTGTAAAGTTTGCTATTACGAGTGATTATATATATTTCTTTTACATTTTCACACTTCTATAATGATGATTTTGAATTTTATTGATTTTGCGCTTAAATAAAAAAACCTAAACGACGATGTAACCAACGTCTACGTTGCCTTTATATATATATTTTTATTTTTTCTTCACATTTTTCAAACTTGTACATGAATTATTATTTATTTTGAACTCTCCTAGAAACACTATTCATGGGGTTTATAGGGTTTTAAAAATTCAAACGATGATGTACGCATCTCAACGTGGAGAAAATGGAATCATGAGCGTTTGCATATATTTTTTTTTCACATTGTTTGCACTTGTAAATTAATTATTATAATTTTTTAATGTGTTTGATATTTTTAAATTACTTTGACATTTTTATGTTTTATTGTGTTTTATAATTTTTTTAATCTCACTTTTAAAAGGACAAAACATTTTTCAGTATGACTCTATGAAAGAGAGTGAAAAATTTATTAGGTCGTTGACGCTATGAAGAGGATATCCAACAGTCGTGAGTCACCAGAAATCGTCGAAAAATATGGCGAAGGTTTGACTTTAAGCAAACCCGTGGTGAATGAGAGAGACAACGAAAAACCGCACACTTCAGGGTTTTTGGGGAAGGAGCAGCTCGGCTCCTTGGCGGCTTGTCAACTTCTGGTCGCAACTCAGGACGTGGCTAGTGTTTAAAAACCCTTTTTTCAGAAACAAAAAATTCATGCTTCTATTTTTTTTTCTCTTTTTTACTCACAAATTACACATAGCGATTTTATAACTTATGCATGCATGAATGGTAAATACATATTCCAGAAGAAGAAACCTCAGATAAACGGTTTCCCATGAAAAATATGGGAGAGAATCCGAAATTAGTCAATGTGCTTGCCTTCTCAGCAGGGCCGGTCTTGAGATTTTGGGGCCCTGTGCGAGACTTTAGCAGAGACCCTTAAATTGTATAGAATTTTGATTGCTATGTTTTCCTTTACATTTTAATTTTTATGATTATATATGAATTGAGATAAAAAAAAAAAAACAAATTTAGGTGTGGTGGACTGGTGGTTAGGTACTTATTTGCATCTCTATGTTTTTGAGTTCGAAACTCCTTATTTATAAACACACAAAAAAAAAAAAGAATAAAAACCCTTAAGTTTTTGGGTTCAAAACACCATGTTTTTTTCCAAAAAAAAAACACCATGCTTTTAAATACCAATTTTTTTTTTTAAAATAAAACACTAAACCATGCTTTTAGATACCAAAATAATTTAAAATAAAACACACAAAAAAGCCACCACTGGAAGACTTTGAACCCAATTCCTAGATCAGGGATAATAGGCTCAAGACAATTGCACTGAGAGAACAATTTAGTATATCGTGTTGCACGTTTAAATTTATATATGAAATATACAGGTAAAGTAAAATCGTAAATTGGGGCCTTCCGAATTTGGGGGCCCTGTGCAGTGGCACCACTTGCACACCCTCAGGGCCGGCAATGCTTCTCAGATACCAAATTGAAACGCAAAATTACATATGTGATTGTGTAAATCATTAATAGAATATATTTAGGATACTAGAAGATCCTTTCCCTTTAAATTTGTATTATTTGCAAGGCAAGCAATCCTTTTTGATTTACTATAAATAGATGCACAAGGACTGGAAAATAACACACCGAATTCCTCAGCACCCTGAACCCGGCTTACAATTTCCCAAACTCAGAGAGAGAGAGTGCCATGGCGTCGGGGTCAAGGGCAGACGCCAAACCCTGCATCCCTTTTCCGATACCTAAAAACCGTTCAATCGCCCAGGTAACCCCGGGGCTGATTGATATCCCCATAGAAGGAGATGTAACTCCTGCACAATTTACGCCAGCGCCTGTCTCCCTAGGTGATTGATTCGCCCCCAATCTCTCTCTCCCCCTCTCTTTTTCTTTTTGTAATTATTTACTTTGATTATAATGTTAGCTTTGTTTTTCAGAAACTGTCACAACAGAAGGACGGGATCGTATAAGGGACTGCATTGCGCGAGCTTTGTCCCTCTTGTCTGAGGAAGATTATGAAAGATATAAGGTTTCTTTTAAGGCATCTGACTCTTCTAAAGTTGCTGCTCAAGTGGAGGCTGCGCTGTTTCAATTTGAACACTCGCCTCCCGATGATGACAAACCATTGGAAGTAAAGCGTCCAGTTCTGTTAGATACTCTTCGGCGCAACAAAGATTTGCGCAGACAAGTTCTTTTTGGAGAGATCACGCCAGAGATGTTGCTCAACATGCCCATAGCCGAACTGCGGCAGAAGTACCCAGCAAACTCACGGCAAATCTTGCTGCCTCCTTCCCGAGGTGATTGATTCGGCCCCAATCTCTCTCCCTTTTTTTTCTTTTTAATTTTGATTTTAACGTTGGCTTTGTTTTCTGAAACTGTCAAAACAGAGCGACGTGTTATAAGGCTTTGTATTGCCGGTGGTTTGTCCAAGGTGTCTGAGGAAGTTGATGAACGATATATGGATTCTGTCAATGCATCTGACCCTTCTAAAGTTGCTGCTCAAGTGGAGGCTGCGCTGTTTAAGCACTGGGGTCCCGATGAAACGATGGAACCAGTGGCTTATAGGTATTCACTTCTAATAACTCTTATTAACAACCCTTGGAACAAAGATTTGCGCAGACAAGTTCTTCTTGGGGAGATCACGCCAGAGATGTTGGCCAACATGTCCCTAGCCGAAATGCAACAGTTGAACACGTGGCCGGAGGACGACCCTGTTATCTTGATATAAAACGACTGATCAAGCCCCTGGAATTAAGGCTGTGTGTTCTGGTAGGTAGTCTCTTCTTGGAGCTACCTCTGTGTGCTTCTTTCGTGGTTGTTTTCCTCGCACTTGGTCAGACAAATGTTTCGTCTTCTGAGTATTTTGTCGTCCCTAGTATAGTATATATTTCGCTATTAAGCTTTATCAAGTGTTGTTGTACTTTGCGTGTAAGGACATTATATATGCGTGTGTTGTTGAATTTGGCAAATGGAACCTGTTTTTGTGGAAATTGAGATTCGGGGGTTTTGCTTGTGTTTTTCTCTTGAACTATTTTTGTGGCACAATGTTGTTTCGTTAAAGATATGTGTCAGTTTCCTTAACGTTTTCGACAATCATTTAGTTAGTACTCACGTCCATAAATTTTACTTAAACCTTTTTGTAAAGAGGAACATACTAATTTGTGATACCTCGCGTATTTCTGTTTCATACCCACTGGTTCTTCATACTTGTTATGCAACCAAGAGCATTCTTGTATATAGCAACAAGAAAAGACCCCCAAATCCTTTTTAGTTTACAATCAACATATAATGTTACCCTTTCCTGACCATAACGATGTCCATTGAAAACATGTAGCTCTTTCTTGTTTCTGAATGGTAACAAACCTTCATTGCGTTTGTGATATTAATTATGGATAATTCTAGGGAGACTAAATTTGTAGACAAAATTTTTGAAACTAAAGGACATGGAAGTTGATGATTGGTTTATTACTTAAGCGTTAATAAATATGCTCATTTTTTTAACACGACCGTATATATTTTAAATTGCTCTACTCGAATAATGGTGCACCAAAACATATAAAGCGACTTCATTAAAAATAGGAAACTGATAGATTACTAACTGTAGATGATAAATCTTACAGAATACAAGACACATGAAACACTACATAAGTACTTTAATGAGGAAAAAACAAGAGCACTGCTTAGCCTTTTGGAATACAAAGCTCACTACAGTACTAATTTGGGCCATTTTATTTTTATCAGGATATTTGAGTAGCGTATCCACCGTTTTCTTTTGGCGGGTGTTCTTGGAGTTTGCTTGTTTTTTTTCTTTTTTTTTTTCTACTTTTAGTCTGGGTGAAATCTTGTGAGACTGTTTGGGGCTTAAGTTTGTTGTTAATTTGGGTGCAGAGCAGCTTGTCGACATCTTGGTCGACTGTGGAGCTGTTCCGACTCTGGTTAAACATCTGCGGGCGCCGCCAGCGACGGACGGCGGAAAACATCCGATCCCTTACGAGCATGAGGTCGAGAAATACTGCGCTTATGCCCTGGGGCTTATTGCCATTAAGGTAAGTTTAGCACCGTAGTAGCACTTTTATTACGTTATGCGGTAACTAAATTTGTTTTGCCTGTTCTTGTATCCGTTAGTAAGAAATTTGTTGTGTTATGGTAATTCTTATGAGGATTGTAAATATTTAGGGCATTAATCAATATTATATTGTTCTGTAAAAACAATACCTTCACTGCAATACAAACGTCTGATCTCTTAGTTGGTAGCTTTTTCTTGATTGGGATTCCGAAAAAAATCTGTTTTATCTCAGTTTGTGTTCTCTTGTTGATGGGTTTTGTTCTGTATCTGTGTTTATGTCATATAGCTGGAGTGTCAACAACTCGTGGTTGATGCCGGAGCTTTACCGGCACCTGATGCTGTGATCAGGAGAGCTTGTGATACAATTGCCGTCATTGCCCGTGAAAATGTCAACACTAAGAACCTTGTCAGGTCTGTTTGCTTCTCCTCTCCTGAGTCTCATATTTAGAGAAGTCTCAGTACTTACCGCTACGGTTATCTTTGAACTTTCAGGATTGAAGGTGGAATCCCTCCTCTTGTTGAACTGCTTAACTTCTTCAACACAAAGGTACAGATAGCGGCTGCAGGGGCCCTTCGGACTCTGGCATTTAAAAATGATGAAAACAAAAACCAGTTATTTAAGTTTTCCTTTTGAGATTTTACGTAACTGATTTAGGAATCTTTAGTATTTAGCTGATTTGAATTGCAAAATTCCAGATTGTAGTAGAGTGCAGTGCTTTGCCTACCCTGGTACTAATGCTTCGATCTGAGGATCCTGTCCTGTGATGTCCTCTGACCCTGATTTTCTTTTAATTTGTTGGAATGCGTTGTTGGCCTTTTCAATTCAGCAACCAAACTTTTCTGATCAGTCGACAGTTGCCCCGAATCCAAAATGGTCAGAGTGGTCAAAAGCTGGTGCTGTGATGTCTCATATGCTGATTTTGTGTGAACAGCTTCTAACACATCAATTCCTATGCATTCGTGCAGCCTTTGTGGGAAGGTTTCTGGTGGCACATAAACTTGGAGAGGAGCAGATTCTGGGGAAATTGTTTCACGATCAACAGGTGGTGTTTCCTCCCTTGGGTGGAACCGGCTGGCTGATGGCTGTTCCGTTTCTGTCCCAATTTCCTCTTGATCATCATAGTTTTTTCCGCAGTTTAGTGCTTGAATTTGAAATTCTTGATTGGTTTCTTTCAATGTACAACTCAGTTGATTCCAATAATATAGAGATTTTGTTCTCCACCGGAAGCTCTTGTGGCACATCAGGTTGCTCAAAGTACTGTTGATTACTTGTCCACGAATAAATATGCTTTTTCAAATCTGAATAGGGATTGTTCCAACACCCTTTTGAGTTGTTTCTCGTATTGATATGCTTTTCGACAAACACAGGAAAATATTCCCTTTCGGGGTACTGCAAAATATCATGGGTCTTCAAACAACAAAGAGCGCAAATTGTAGGTTTAAATCCATAAAGACCTTTTTCTGCTAATGAAACCCATAAGGGCAATCCTTCTTGCGGTGGCTCCATCATTGAATTGCTCTCAAAATTAAAAAACTATAACTTGCAAAAAAAAAAAAAAAATCAACAAATAAATAAAAAGATACATACAACAATAAGTAACCAAGAATATGATAAACACAAATTATTTTAAACGATCTTCGTCGACAGCGCCAATTTCTTGATAGGGTTGTTACAACATGCAAAAATATGGATAAAAACACTTAAAAAAACTTGTAAGAGAACAAAATATTTGTTGTATAAACAACTCAAGTAAGATCGTTCTTCATAGGTATTGAATGAATAATTTGTATTTAAACTAATTCTTAGCTAATATTTTAAACAAAGTTTCGAAAAAGTTAATTTTGGAATTTAAAATAATAGAAACGAATTTAAATAAAAACAATTAAATAATTAACAAAGTAAAGGAAGCAAAAGAAAACAGTTTTGGAAAACAATTTAAACACTAGGGTTTTGCCGTCACCATTAACAATCCCATGCAATTCTATCAATTACTTATGAATTTCCACATACATGCTTTGAAGGTTAAGTTTTCCTAATACATACTTTCCTCGTGATGTTCAAGTGAAAATGTATATCTAACTTGCAACCGTCTGTGATTTTCAGATCAAATATAAACATGCAAAACTCATTAAGCTTTGTGAAAACCCTCCTCAATTTCAAGGTGATTTTCCAACATAAATTGCATCAAATTACATGTCTAAATACCCTAATGGTCGCGAATCACTAAGACAATTAGATAGTTTAATCGACGTGACTAATAATTCAAAGCAAGCATGCATCCATTCATAAGAAAATTAATAAAATCACATAATCATGGTAAGGCTCGTGGCCTCCACCTAGCAAAAAGACTAGTTACGAACAATCATAATAAAAACTAAAGAAAATATCATTAACTAGAAAAAGGATTGAAAACACCTTATAGGTAAAAAGTCTGAAGTACTCCAAAATAATGCATCATTTTTTTAACCCTAATGGTTAATAAGCCGGACTTCTAAAAACTAGGAAATATAATAGAACAAGATAACTAGGAATTACATTCCAATTCTAACTTTGGGAAATCTATCCAGCCACAGAGAATCCCACGTTTCTGGAGCTTCAGGGCTCCAAAACAGGCCCAAAACGACTCAAACTAAAGCTTGAGATGTCCCGAACATAATTGCAGAAGGCCTCGAACCCAAAAGACATCATTTTGGATGCTAAAAATCCCAAATAAGCCTAAAACGTTACTTTGACAGCACTGCACTTTCCTTTATTTCATTGTCATAATTAAAACCGCTTGATATAAAAGTTTGACACTTTGACACAAACAAGTTGAGAGACCAACGAACATCCTCCAATTGGAATCACTAAAAAATTCGTCCATTTCAAGAGAAAGTTGAATGTCTTACATTGGAAATATAATTCAAAGTATCAAAGTTCTCACAAAATAACCAATAATTTAATACTAAGATTAGGGTAAATATATAGTATAAACTCAACTCATCAGGGTTCATGCTAGCCAAAGGAAGGAACATGCTCCTGGATAGCATCACAAAGATCTAATTACCGGCTTACAACGATTGTGGGATTATGAGACCTTGTTGACTCCACCTCAGTCTGTTTGTTCAGTGGTGAATCAAGCTGCAACTAAGATTATAAGGTCACCTCAAACCGAAGGAGGGCTAAAGGGCCATGTTTAGCCCTATAGCCTTGCAAGAAATTATATTTTAATGAACAGTGTCATGCCATATTTTATACCATCTCCAACTGATGGGGCCAAATGGTCATAGGCACATAGCCCTTTGACAAAAAACTCATCTTCAACCAAGGGGGCGAAAGGGCCATAGGCCAAACATAACTCCCTCAATAATTTATTATTTTAATTGAATTAATATGGTTAATTAAATTAAACTACCATATTAAAATAAAGTTTTCGGACATATTTTGAGTGCCACTTGTCGCTAAATGAATAAACCTTCGGAGTTCTTATCTTTATATAATCTCAATAATTTTTCGGATAGGATTTTGAGTGACACGTATTGCTAACGTGAGTAACTCTCCAGATTTCTTATCTTTATGTAATCTCAATAATTTTTCGGATATGATTTCGAGTGACACGTATCGCTAAAGTGAGTAACTCTCTAGATTACTTATCTTTCTCCTTCATTTCTCCTGTTTTGATCTTCCATTGTAGTTTGTCTTAAGTTAGAAAATGGCTATTGAAACACCCTTTGGCATAAAGAAAACACAATAACGAAGAAAGCGTGGTATTCTTGCACCTGCCACAAAGTCATGCTTGACATTCTGAAGCCAGTTAGCCGTTGGAGGGCAAGTGGGCTGGGTTGTAGAGCTGGCTGGC